AGTAAGAAACAAACACAAAAAAAGCACAACAGAAGTCGCCACCTTTCTGCCATCGGCCCTCACCCCTGTGGCTGTCAGGTTTCTGTGTGTTTCTAGATGGTGGCTCTCCCCACAGGGATCGACTGAGACCTCGGTGTTGCATTGCTCAGCTGTTGACAGGACCCAGGTCAGACTTCCAGGGCAAAGCCCCCTCTTTGGGTCTCAACGTTCACCTCGGCCGTGGGAATATGAAGAACCCTCTCTGCCATAAACCACCTGGGAGACCCTGGCTGGTCACTCGACCCCTGCAGACCCGAGACCCCTGCCTGTGAAGCCAGAGGTCTGCACTGTGGAATCTCTAAGGCTCTTGCACTGTTAGGACCTTGTGATTCTCGGTCCCTGCTTCTAGCTCTATTTGAGCCAAGCGGGCACAGCTACGTTTTGTGGGAAGGAACCGGGAAAAGGGAAAGAAATGGTTACTGAGAATGACGAGGTTGTGTCCACTCCGGGACTGGCTCGGAACCTCACGCCTTCCGGCCCCAGGTCTGAAACTGACGGGCAAACCGCCTGTCAAAACTGACGACAACCCCGGTTCTACGTGCGCGTCGGGGCACTCGAGTTGGAGATGTCCCCGCACCGGGCTGTGCGGAGCGCGCCGGGCCCTTCCCGGTCTCTTCTCTCCCAAACCTGACGCAGCAAAGAGAAGGGACTGAGGCGACTCTCTACCCTTCTCGGGAGCCCAGGGAGCAGCTTCTTCTCCACAATCGAAATTGCTTCCCCAGCCCAGGGGGGAGGCTGCCCCTCCACCCTTGTCGGGTCCTCGCTCGCCGCACCGAGTGTGTCCCTTGCAGATGCTCTTGGGGAGACAGTGTGGCCTGGGCGTGCCCCTAAGCACCTCCTCTGAGAAAGATCCTCATTTGCAGCCCCCTGGAAGCGTCTTCTGTGTGGAGGAGTGGAGAGTAGTTGGTGCCGGTCTTTTTGGATACAGGACTGGCTGGCTGTGGTCCTGGTTCGGGACAGTCTGGTAGTCAAGGCAGCATGGCCCTTGTCCCTGCACCTGAGACAACGTTCCCAGAGACCCGCCTTAAGTCAGATAAAACACCACCCCGGTTCGATTTCTTCTACGCTCGGCTTTGCCTCTGTTGCCGGCTCCTGCACTGAACACGTTGTCTGCCTCCCTTTCCCCCCCCACCTCTCGGAGTCCCCTCTGTAGCTCTCAGGGACTGAATCGACACAGAAACCCCAGCACGACTGTCCACCTGGACAGCCAGGGCGGGCTGCTGGCAGGGACTCAGAAGTCCCCGAGTAACACACTGTCCTGAATGACTTCCACCCAGGTGTATGGGAAAGGCAAACTTGCTCCTAATGAATGGTTCAAGTCCGTGTGTGTGTGTGTGTATGTGTGTGTGTGTAGGGTGTGGAAAATCTTCACCTCCTATGGCTAAGAACAGAGCAATGATCTAGCCAATACTTAATTTCTCTAATTAATCATACTCACCATGCATAGTCTGAATAAGACTTCTACCTCCAAAGCCCCAAATATGTCCTTTTTGAACTAATTCCATAAAAGCTGAGCCGCCCCTTCCAAGAATGATTATGCATTGAAACTGGCAAACAGTGTCTCCTGTCAGTGGTGTGTCCTCTGTTTCTTCCCGGGTGTGGACAGGGGTTAAAGGGGGATCTGTAATTCTACTGCTTTTTTAAATCACGGTTAACCACCCATCAGCGGTCGACTTCCAGCTCCGTTCCATTTGGGAGTATTTGGGAAGAGAAGAGAAAAGCACGTGACAGGGCTACGTGGGGATGCGGCACACCGAGTGGAACTCTGATTTCTCCAGCACGTTGACGACGTGGGTGTGGGCGCTCGGACGAATCAGAGTGGAAGTCGGCAGGCGCGATGACCTCAGCCGGCACCACCGAAGCGCTTGGTCGGAGCCCACACGAAAATGGCTTTATTCTCTAAGACCGGGGGATGGAACTGGGACCTCATTCAAGAGATAGCTTTGGGGGGCTGTCCTCACTCAACTCTCCAAACAGAGAGAGACACGCTTCTACAACGGATTTGGTTTTTTTAAACGGTAGCTTTGCACAGACGCCTGTGAATGACAGAAAGCTAATCTCCATCAACAAGTGCACTAGAGCACTTTTTAAAGGATAAAAACTGGACTTTAATATCCACCTCATTGGGGAGCCCTGTATCCCAGAAAATCACGCACGTGTAAATACTGGTGAGGCTCTGATGCGGAACGGTTGTCATCGGTGTGTCCGTGTTAGAGCATCCTTCAGGTGCAGGTGGGCACAGAACTGCCGACTGCTACCTGGCAGTGCAGGTACGAGGTGTAATGTTACCAGGTGTACAGCGCAGTGGTTAGACAACCATATACTTTACGAAGGGGTCCCTCTGATGTTGCCAGGACCCAACCGGCACCACACGTAGTTATTACAATAGTGTTGACTGTGTTCCCCCTGCTGTCCTGTACGTCCCAATGACTGTTTCGTAGCTACTAATCTCCACGTCTCAGTCCCTTCCCCCTTTTCACTCGGTCCCCCAACCTCCCTCCCCTGACAGCATGGATGGACCTAGAGGGTATTCTTCATGCTCAGTGAAATAAGTCAGTCAGAGAAAGACAAATAACATGATCTCACTTGTAAGTGGAATCTGAAGAACCATAAGAAAGGAACAAACAAAATGGAAACAGACTCATAGATACAGTGAGTTTCCTTTTCTTAGTCCCTCGAATACCTAGCAAAGTGCTAGAAAAACAGCAGACACACGATACATTTTTCTTGAGGATGGATTTAATTGATTAAGAGAAAACGAGCTAATAATCCATTACTATGCTCCCACATGTACCGTTCGCTGCAGCTAGATCTTCTCTTTAAGAATGTAACAAAAGTTTGCGGAAGTGGGATTTGTTTAACCACACGGAGTTAATCAGTTACTTTACGGAAACCCTTTCTCTCACTCAAAGCCAACTTCAGAACTAGAACTGGTGTGTGGACTATTGTACCTTTATATACTAATGAGTAATTATGACATGAAACTGATTTTCATTAGACAACACACGAGAACCTGCCTGTTTTATTTTCAATTTTTATTTTATCATTATTATTATTATTATTATTTTTTTAGTCCTCATCCGAGGACATTTTTCTATTTTTTGTACAGACAGAGTGGGAGGGAGAGAGAGGAAGAGAGAGAGAGAGAGAGGGAAACATCGACGTGAAAGGGACACATCGAGTGGTTGCCACCCGCACGACCAACCAGGGCCGGGGACAAACTGCAACCGAGGCACATGCCCTTAGCGGGAACCGAACCCGGGTCTCTCTGGACCGCAGGCCGACGCTCTAACCGCTGAGCCAAACCGGCCAGGGCTTTATCATTATTATTATTTTTTTTATTGACTTTAGAGAGAGAGGAAGGGAGAGGGCGAGAGAGAAACATTGATGTGAGAGAGAAACATTGATCGGTTGCCTGCCGCAGGCACCCTGACCAGAGATCAAACCCACCACCTGGGCATGTGCCCTGATCAGGAATCAAACTGTGACCCTTTGGCACATGGGACGACACTCCAACAACTGAGCCAGGCGGGTCAGGATCGAGAGTGGAACAACAGTCCGTCTCTCAGAACTTCTGTATAGAAATGCGTATGTATGATTATTTCATGTCCATATTTTTTTTTCTTAAACAGTTGAAACTAAATTTCTTATTGCACCATTCTACTAAGCCTGACTAGACACATGGCGTATTATTGCTTAACAAACGCATGATGAACCTTCTGTGACCAGTCTCCGTTTTAAAGGTAGCTCTTTCATATTCTCCACGTAAGAAGAGAAAAATCAGTAGCAACCCCACCTCTCTTTTGTATCAGGAACACGACCTGGTTAACTGCTGACAGTCTTGGTTTACTAGGCCGGAGACAGTGAACATGAATCATTACTTTCCTTAGGACACCTCTTTGAGCAGACGCAATAGGTGATGGCATTGAGGAGGTCTGATTCTCCCTTGATTGACGGACATGGTGATACTATTCCGTGTCACGCGATGCTTTGCTAGGGGGGACCCAGATGCGGCACTGAAATCTTTACAGCCTCCCCAGGAGGAGCTGGGATGAGGGTGGTATTCTCATTACCAGAGCCAGCAAATGGAGGGTTTTGCCTGAGGTGTCCTGGCAAGTCAGTAATTCAGGGAGCAGACCTAGGTCTCCCGATGCCTAGCACACAATCACGAATGCACAGAACTCCCAGGGGACGGACAAGAAGAGGGGAAAAGACACCCCAGATGCTCACTGCAGAATCCCTGCAGCAATATGTCACCATGTCCCTCCGAGGACACATAAAGTGCACTGGGGGGTATCAAACAACATGAAATCCTAACGGTGCCCTCGTTAGGCGGGATCATCACTCTAACTCCCAGCCTCCACAGCCTGCAGCCCCCAGTTCCTCTCTGGGGTGCAGAAGGCAAGACATAGTGACAGAAATGATCTTTGGCTTACAAGGGACTTGGCATCAAGCTCTGATGATGATGGAATTTGATAGCAATAATGTCAAGCGTTATACGACCATAATCCCAGTTTACAATGATGCATTAAACCATCATGCTACTATTTATATCCCCATCAACCCAGTTTACGGCGCCATCCGTCGCCATGCTAATGGCGTTCACAGCAGCACGAGGTGGAATCCCAGCTGTTGAGTGCCACTGTCACGCTATCGGCATTGCTATTTATGTATCACCAGACACTCAGGGAGTCCAAGTTGTTCCATATGAATATACAAGGAAGATGGATATCTACACTTTGTGCCCAGATCCAGGCTCCCCGGACTGAAGAGTTCATTGGTGCCCTCCCCTCTATGGGTTAAGGTCTACCTCGCTCTCTCCGTGCGGCTGTTTGTGTGGTAGGATGATTTTTTAAGAGTTAGAGAAGAACAGTCTGTTTTCTGCCCCCCCGCTGCTTTGCTGGGAAACACCAGATAAAATTGCCGCGAAAGTGAAAGCCACAGCTGCTGAGCACACTTACTGTCTCCTTGGCAGCGAAGGGGGCCCACGCTCAGCTTTGCTTCGGAGCCTGGCCGGCCAGTATCTCCAACCACCACCTGGTTCACCGGCAGGTGATCTTTGTAGGACAGGAAGCCAGCGTCCTTCCTCCTGAGTCACAGGGAGAGAGAAAGGGACAGGGAGAGGCTGAGTCAGAAACATGTCCTTTCTGATAATCGTGTAAGTTGTCTCATAACGGACCGCGTTCGGATAAACGTTCAGAAGTTCACTAAGTAGAGCCACGGGGAAGAGTTGTTTCCTCCCCTCCGTTGGGGGGTGATGTCACAGTGCACTGCTCAGGAGCAAGTGTGACCTCTCCACCTTCTGGAAAACAGAAGGGACACCCCGATTTCCAGAGTCACAACCAACATGCTGCGTGCCGTTTTGGGTTGAGAGTAGATGACCTTGCTGCTTGACGAACACACACAAAACAGGGACCACAGAGGCAGAACTTGCTGTGGTCACGGATTCGAAAGTTCAACCAAGCCAACCTCATCTCTTACACAACGTATAAAACAAAACCCTCTTTAACTGCATTGAAGCAGTTGCTTCTGAGACTTTCTTTCCTGCTGTGCTACATAAGGGACACATTTTTGTTCCTTCATCTTTTCCTGTTTATTGATCTATTTTTTAAATATATTTTTAATTGATTTTAGATAGAGAGAGAGGAAGGGAGATGGAGAGAGAGAGAGAAACATCCATGAGAGAGAGAGAAACATTGATCAGATTATGACTATATAAGAGATAAAGTTGACTTGGTTGAACTTTTGAATCCATGACCACAGCAAACTCTGCCTCCTGCACGCCCCCTACTGGGGATCGAGCCCCAAACCCAGGCATGTGCCCTGACCGGCAATCAAACCGACAACTACTTGGTGCACGGGAGGATGCCTGATCAACTGAGCCCCATGGGCCAGGGCTCTTCCCGTTTATTTTAACAACGGAAAGGATTTACAGAAAGTTTCCAAAACAGGGCAGGTACTCACGAAGAGTCTATTTCCATCTAAAATGAGGAGTGGAGCTCACTTTGGTTTTCCTCTTGTTAACTGTACAGGGTGGGGCAAAAGGTGATTTACAGTCGTTTGTATGGGAAGTAATACAATAATGAATAAATAATACCACAAGAATAAACTCTTGTTTCACGTACTCACAACTGCAAACCTACTTTTGCTCCACCCTGTATACTTACCTTGTTTCAGGTCTCCTAAGTCTACCCCATACCCATCCTACATTAAGGAGGAGGACAAAGCTAGTTGCAAAGTACTAATTATGGGTTGGAACACAGACACCCAGGAGACGTTCTTGGGCATGGGCCCAAGGTAAATTATATACAGCACAGATTTCATTCACCTTAATGGGAAATCCCCACCCCCTCATCCTCTTTGGTGCTGCTGAGGTTGGGAGATCCCCTCATTTAAGTCTGGATGGGTGGTCGGCACAAATCAGTATAGTCACTCCCCAAATGTACTTTCTTACATGCTTTTTTGCACTGTTCCGTCTGCATGGAAGTAACAGTTTTGAAACTGTACCTACAGTTGATCGCAGAAAACTAATTTTGGGTAGAAGAATGAGAGAGAGCTCAATGATTAGGTTAAAGATCCATCACTCACATCTCTCGGTGAATGGTGCAGAGAATTGAGGGGAACCAATCAGGAAGCCTGCTCGTAAAGTGTTATGCTGTTAGGAGCGGTTATTCCTCTGACCTTCTAGAACAGTGGTTCTCAACCTTCCTAGTGCTGCAACCCTTTAATACAGCTCCTCGCGTTGTGTGTGGGTGTGTCTGCACATGGGCAGACCCGCCTGGAGATGGATGGAGGAGCGGTGTCTCGGTTCCTAAGACCCTCGGAAATATGTGTTTTCCGATGATCCTAGGTGACCCCTGTGAAAGGGTCATTCGACCCCCAAAGGGGTCGTGACCCACAGATTGAGAACTGCTGTTCTAGAATGTCATAGACCCCATGCTCCCTCACATGTCAGGACCCACAAAAACCCAGGAAGGAGTCACAGAATTTGGCCACTGAGCTTCAAACAAGTGTATTTCCAGTGCCTCAGGTATTTCATTGCTTTCAAGTTTTCAAAACAAAGACTATTTTAAAAAAATTGTTTATCAGCCCTGGCTGGTGTGGTTGGAGCAGTGTTTCATAAACCAAGAGATGGTGGGTTCGATTCCCAGTCAGGGCATATACCAGGTTGTGGGTTCAGTCTCTGGGAGGCAACCGATTGATGTTTCTCTCTCACATTGATGTTCCCCTCCCTCTCTCTTTCCCTTCCTCTGTCTAAAAAAAAAAATTAATTAAAAGATTATTTAAAGAAATTGTTTTTCAAAGCAGAACTAAGACCACTCAGAAAAGCACTGTGGTTCTTACTGACATTGTAGCTACTACCAACCAGAACTCAAATATCTCAGTGGAATCTCTTGCAAACCCAGCTTCTTTTATTTAAACTTCCATCAGTTAAAATCATGTCAGAGAGGGAACAAAGCCTTTGACATTAAATACCATGTTTAATGTTTCTGGAAGGAACAAAAATAACGAAAACACCCTTTCACAACATCCTGCAATCCGACCACTGGCCCGAAATGACGCTGTGCGCTGCTGTGGAACTAGAGGCTGAGAGTCTCCGTAAGTCCATCACCACTGAGAATTAACGTGAGTCCAAACCAGGGTCCCAAGAACCATTGGTCTAGTGGCCTCTGCTCTTATGGCCCATGAGCTATGAATGCTTCTTCCATTTTAAAAGGTTGAAAAAGAAATCGAAAGCAGAATAACACTTTGTCACGTGAAAACTGCATGAAATCCAAAGTCAGTGTCCATACATAAAGTTTCCATACACTACAGCCCCTTAAAAAAAAAAAAACATATATTGTCAGTGATGCCTCCACATTTCAACCGCAGAGCTGAGTACTTGGGATTCAGATCAGGCAGCTCTCAAAGCCTAAAATGTTTGTTGTCTGGACCATTATAGAAAAAGGTTGCCAACCCCTGCTCTACACCGCCACACTCCATCTCTTTCCTTGGGGATTAGTATTCACAAACATTCTACTGACTGTCCTGGTAATAACTATCACCCAACTCATCTCCACAGTCATGAGTGGCATTAGAGGCATGAGAGTATCTCTGAGGTAGGGAAAGAAGCCATTGAAACCACAATTTATCTAATCTCATAGTGGGAAATAATTTGAACCTCGTCAATGATTCACGTAAAAAAATATTTTTTATCTTTATTGATTTCAGAAAGAGGAGAGGGAGAGGGAGAGAGAGAGATAGAAACATCGCTGGGAAAGAATATCGATTGGCCACCTCCTGCGTGTCCCCCACTGGGGATCAGGTCCACAACCTGGGCATGTGTCCTGACTGGGAATTGAACCCATGACCTCTTGGTGCACGGGTCGACGCTCAACCGCTGAGCCACACCGGCCGGGCAATAATTCACTTTGCTATTGACTTTGCGCTCTACGGCAGGCAGCCGCGTGGGACCTTTGAGACAACCAATACCTATTCTTCTTTTAACTGTTCCAGCAATCAGAAGATGATATGGCTACACCAATTCTGAACGATATTGAATATAAACTGTAATTAAAAAAAAAAAAAAAAAGATGGGATGGCTCATTGTATAAGAGATCGTTGAAGGGGACAATCTCTGTGATGTTCTGTACGCATCCTTCTGTGTCTGGCTCCTTACCTGACCTTACATGTCAACACTTACCTGACCTTATATGTCAACATGGATGTGAGATTATCCATGTTATTTATTTAAAAAATATTCTGAATGAAAATTGTGCTATATTTATAAAAATGTAATACTACACAATCATGAGGATGGACATCCCCCTGTGGTCCCTTGGGCTGGTTTCCAGTGTTTGACTATTGTGGGCGCAGCTGTTGTAAACATTCTTATTAACGTGTTACTTGTAAGAGCTCATTTACGTTGAGCATTTACCCCAACGCAGAAATGCTGGGTCATATCATTAGCTTTGGAATATATTCTTTCGTTTATCCAGGTGGTGAGCTTTCGTAGATACTTTCAACTTTCCCAAAAGCTTGTATCAGATAACATTTCCACCAGCAGGTATATGAGAATTCAGATCTCGGTCCATTTATGATGAGTGAGCAAGTAATTACTTTTTATCAAAACTTGTGCTAATGTAAGAGCATTCTGAAAACAAGTGTTGGAATTATATATTCATAATGCAATTCACAAGGCAATCATAATGCAATTTTATTGCCAAAACTGATATATGCACAATTTTATAAGAATTTGCATATCTATACAATTCCATAACTTGGAAAAGTAAGTTTTAAATCTTTCTAATCATTGTATAAATGTAGAGTTCCAGTGGGTTTTGGACTTGTTTTTTAATAATGAAATGACCCACTCTTCAATTATTTTGCAAACCAAACTGATTACTATCAGAAATGATAGAAATTTACAAGGTACAATTTATCAAAACCTTTGTGCTATTGGTCAATGAAACTGAAAAATTAACAGCATCATTCATTAGGTGGATTCAATAATGTACTTTTATTTAGTGTGATATATGTGCCTTTAGTTAACATTTTTGAATGTTAACTCTGATAGCAAATAAAGTATCAAAATGAACAAAACAGAGGCAGATATTCAAATAAGTAATCCAAGATTATATAAAATAATGTGCATTCAATCACTTGCAGTTACTAAAAAATGCATAATGTCTATTAACTAAAAAATGCATGATGTCTATTAATATTTTAGAGAAAATATTGATCTCAGCTTTGTTATTTTAAAAGATGTTGTTTTATATTGAACATAAAATATTACTTCACTAGAACTGATATATATTTTTATACTTATTTGTGTGTGTTTGAAAACGTTTTAAGGATAGAATAAGGATCAAAAAATATAAAGAGCACTACTCTAATTCATATGAAACTATACGAGTAATAGGACATCGGTCATTGAGAACCCATGCATGTTGGAGTATTTCTTGTACACAACATCGGAGCTGAAATCAAATCTTTCTCATAGGCACCCCATCTCCATTTTCTTGGTGAGAAGGATGAGACTCAGAATATTTATCTTGACCAAGGTCACCAGCTCATAAATGTAGAGTGTGGGTTCACATCTAGATGATC